GCTAGAAGCCACTCCATTGGCTTTGGGTTTGGGGTCATGGCATGACAGATTGTCAAAGATATTTCTTTCTCTCTCTCTCGTGTGTGAGTACACACTGTAATGCATAAAACTAACTAAAAATATGTTCCTTTTATGCCAAACTCATAGAAACCTCTATGAGTTTTAACCAAATGTTCTGAATGTCAGAAGTGTTTTTTCTTTAACCTTGGAGCCTCATTTGCCACCATTGGCATATGACTCTTGCCATTCTTGGCTTAAGTCTTGTGACCAAAAATTTATTTATTAAACACTAACTATGTGCCACACATTATTCTAGGCACTGGGATTACAGAAGATTAAATGGATAAACACGTTATCATGATAATATCAGGTAGTGATAAGTTCTACAAAAGAGCGACCAGACAGTGACATGGCAGAAAAGTATAATGCTCTGCGAGGTAGTCTCACATGGGAAAGTTCCCAGTTAGGTCTGGAGTCTTCTTGTAGTATGCTTGGCACATTTATGCCCATGATTTGGGGGTGGCTGAAGGCCGGGAGTGGATTGTGGCCACAAGACCCCGTTGGGAGTGCTGTTTTTCTCTTTCTCTCACTCATTGAAGAAATAAATAAACTAACTTTTAAAAAGTAGTGCTTTTAAAAAATAGACTATGAAAGATGGAGACTGGGGTGGATAGGATACTTCATTTAGGTTGTACATTTAGGTTGTACTGGTAGGGTGTATAGGATGAAGTGAGATGTAAAAAGTGAAAAGCATCCAGCTATTGAGACAGCTGAGAAGAACTTTTAGGCAGAGGATTGGTAAGTGCAAAGTATTAAGAGGTACAGGTGAAGATTAGTGGGACTGGAGGGTAGTGGGGGGTTGTGACATAAGAGTCAAGTGGCCTTGTGGGGAGTAGTGAAGAGTTTAGGTCTTATTCCTAGCACAATGAAAGTGACACAGTCTGATTCCTGTTTCAAGCCATTTTTCCTCCTGGTTTAAGAATGGTTTGAAGGGGCAAGAATGTAGACTAGAAGTGGGACCAGCAGTTAGTGTAATGGCTATGTCGCTGGACTCCCATGTAGTCGACTGCGGTTCGCGTCCTGGACCTGGTGGCTTAAAACTCACGCTGGGCGCGTGTGCGTGCGTGTCCAAGATCCCGAGAGGAGAATGGAGGAGAAGGGATTGCGGCGTGGCCATCTCCCCTGGGGGGTGATTTCTCGCTTTCTGTCTCTCTGTCTCTCTGTCTGTCTCTGGCGAGTGCACGCGCCCTATAGCAAAAACCTCTCCAAAAAAAAAAGAAAAAAAGAATGTAGACTAGAAGCAGGTGCATCAGTTTAGAGTCTATTTCACCAGGTCAGGTGAGTGATGCCTTGAACTCTAGGGAGGAGAGAACACTGAAATGATATGATAGGCTCAATTGGCTTACATTTTGCAGAGGAGTTCAGAAAACTTGTGATGGATTAGATAGAGGGAAGGCAAGAGGAATGGATTAGGCAAGGTGTCTCCTTTTCGATTTGAGCAACTAGATGAATTTTGTGAGGCGGGATGTCTTGGAGAGGGAATAGATTTAGTGGGAGATGCAGTAGAGCAAGTATGCCAAAAGTGTGACTTGGAGGTATGTCAAACTTGTGACTTGGAGGTGAGGGCAGAAGTCTGAGCTGGGAAGAACTTGGGAGTCCTCATCATATAACTGTCACTTAGAGCAATGTGACTGGATGAGACTACCCCAAGAGAAGAAATATGGATAAGAAGAGAAGAGGACTTAGAACCATATCCTGGGACAGGTCTGTATGCAGAGGTTGGCCACAGGTGAAGGAAAAGAGACTGAGTCTGAGCAGTTACAGAAGGAAAAAGAAAACATGGAAAGCTAAGTGAAAGATGTCAGAAGGTGGGTGTTGTTACCCTTACTGATTGATTCTGGGACCAGCAGTTAGTGTAATGGCTATGTCGCTGGACTCCCATGTAGTCAACCGCGGTTTGACTCTTGGACCCGGTGGCTTAAACTCACGCCGGGTGTGTGTGTGCCCAAGATCCCGAGAGGAGAATGGAGGAGAAGGGATTGCAGTGTGGCCATCCCCCCTGTGGGGTGATTTCTCGCTTTCTGTCTTTCTGTTTCTGTCTGTCTGGCGAGTGCACGTGCCCTATAGCAAAAACCTCTCCAAAAAATAAAAATAAAAATAAAAATAAAAAAGAATTAGCTTACATAATAATAGAGGCTGAGAAGTCCCTTCCTCCTGTCATTTGTAAGCTAGAGAACCAGGAAGACTGGTGTTAACTCAGTCTAAGTCCAAAATCTTGACTACTGAGGAGCTGAAGACTTACTCTTAGGTCAAAAACCTAAGAACCAGGGAGCTACTTGTGGAAGTCCAGAGTCCAAAGGCCAGAGAACCTGATGTCCAATGACAGGAGAAGATGGACATCCCAGCTGTAGAAGAGAGAGAGTTTATGTTTGCTTTTTCTCTGCCTTTTTGTTCTATCCAGCCCTCAACCTATGGGGTGCTGCACACCTGCACTTGGTGAGGAAGGATGTTTCTTACTAAGTCCACTGATTCAAATACCAGTCTCCTCTGGAAACATCCTCACAAACATGCTCAGAAATAATGGTTTACCATCTATCTGGGTATTTAACACTCAAGTTGGCACCTAAAATTAACTTATTACACCTCCTCTTGACGTAACCACCTATGAAATTGAGATGATAATTTGCTGAGTAACTTTCAAAGTTATAAATAGGCTACGCAATTTAATGTAACAGACCTATCACAACTGGACCATCAGGTGGTGTGAAGGTTAAGGCACTGGATCCCTCATGGCCAGTTGCGTGGTTTGAGTCCTGGACCTGGTGGCTTGAAAGCACGCGTGTGCTTTCAAAATCCCCAAGGAGACTGGAGGAGAAGGGATTGTGCTATAGCCATACCCCCTTGGGGGTGATATTTTCACTTTCCCTCTCTCTCTCTCTGGTGAGCTGAGAGCACCAATCCAATAGCAAAAACTGGGGTGGGAAAAAAAAAAAAAGGCCTATGGTGGTTTATGTCACAACTTAGGCTGTCCATGAAAGATAGCTATTGTTGCTTATCCTTGAGTTATTCTGAATGCAGATATTTAAAATATTATATACTTTATTTTATGTTTATATCGTTAAAACTGTTATGTTAGTTCCAACACAAATACTTTTGAAGAATTTTAACGCTACAAAGATTTTTAAGATTTCAGATGCTCTTGATGTTCTAGAGTATGTTTTGCCTTTAATGGCACCCCATTCCTTGTTCTAGAAGATTTGTCTGTTATCATTGCTTTTTCCTTAAGAGTTTGTCTTCTGGGAGCTGAATTGAGGGAGGCAGTTGTGGTTTCCTGACTTCAACAGGAATTAAAGAGGTCCATTTGCTCCCAGAAATGAAGTTGTCAGTACTACTGGAAACCAGGAATGTGAGAAGAGATTAAATTTTAAAAGCTATAGGAATTTATTTCTGTAAGTTAGAATGTCACCTGTTTTGTTCTGGCTTAAAACCATATTACTTAGTTTCTACTTAGTATTGACCTTCTGAATTTGTATTACTTTTTTCAATTCAGTAGTACTAAAGTAGGGATTAGTACTGAACCTAACATAGTGTTGAGTATGTAGTGGGCACTCAATATCTGTTACTTTAAAGGAAGAAAACAATGGTTGCTAATGTAGGCATGCCCTTGTCATCAGCTTTTCTGGTCATCATTAGTCTGAGTGTAAAGTTATGCATGTGAGAGAACATAATACAGAAGTTTCTGAAACTTTGAGTGTTCTACATAGCTGTCTCAGAATGTGTTACCTTTTTTCCCTTCAGAGTATTGAACAGTTGATGTTGATTTAAAAATTCATAGAATTTGTACATAAATACATAAAATTGAAATAATTAAAAATACTGTTTGCAAAAAGGTATAGTCAAGGGAAAAAAATAAAGGTAGTAAAAGAGCAACAACCAAGACTATGTAAGGTGGAAGATAAAACTGAGTAAAATGACTCTGCTTTCTCTTTATTGTCAAGCTTCATGGATAACTAAAACCTGGCTGGGTAAAGTCTAGATAAAAATAGTTTTCCAAGCCCAGTGGAAATCTTTTTACTCTTAGAAGAATATTGTACATTTATTTTGAAAACTTTTAACAATATAATTTATCAATATATTTTATTTCCTACAGGTATAATGTGAATACAGATTTTTATTGGCTTCAAAAAGTTTATATTAAATTGACAGTCTTGTGAGGAAAAAATATATCTTGTTTTTTTTTCCAGAGTATATTGTTTATAAAGACCTATATAAGTAGATTACTCTAATTGTGTTCTGATGATTTAAAAATTGTGCTACTAAATATGTTTTAAATCCATGTATCAGATGCCTTATCATACCTTATTGAGAGGCCTCAAGGAAATTAAGCAAACAATGTAGTCATCTTATTTAAAATGCATTTGCATGTATGAATAGAATAGAAACAAGCAAACCTAACAAGACATCTGTCCAGCAGTCTTGCAGGAGTTAAAAGTAAAATTTATCAGACATCAATAGTTTATTGAAGAAATACTCCTTTTTGCTTCATAATTTGCAGAAGGCTGCAACTGTCAGTCATGATGTACTGCCTCTTGAAATTAGTCAATAGAGCAAACAGCAAGAATTGCTGTGGGCAGAAAATAAGCACTGTAATCATGACATAACTGGGGTCAGTGATTTATGGATTTCAATATAGTAGTAGCTGCATATGATTGAAAATTTACTAGGTCAGTAGTGCACCAAAAATTTTATTCACAGCCTCCAGGCATCTTTTGAAATGTGCAACAAAATAAAAACCTCTGAACCCGTTTTGACACTGCAGACTCAGTGGATGACATGCCAGCCCAGTGAGTCTCATTTAAATGTAAATGTGTCATAAACTTTTGTACCATAGTCTTTAAAAATACCAGCTACTTGAACGGATAATACATGGGAAACTAATTTACATATTGAACTAGTAAAAACTGATCTTTTAATAATCAAGTTGGTATTCTTTTTTAAAGTTGGAAGCTGAAGCTGTTCCTGAAGTATCTGAAAAATACGAAATTAGTTCTGTCCCCACCTTTCTGTTTTTCAAGGTAAGGATAAAAGCGGTACATAAGTGATCTCTTGATCATCCACCTATAATGGGCTGTGGGGCTATCTTTTGTTTTTTTTTTTAACCTCTCTCATGTTCCCTGAACATTAGACATTTGGTGAATCCTGACTCTGCACTTTTTATCTGATGGTTCCATTCTTACACTGATGCTGAAGAGAACTATGCCCACGTTCCTGGAAAAGTGGCAGGAACTGTGGAGTGTCAGTAGCCAGAGTTGGAACTTCCTAACCAGAATCCAGAGACTTGACTCTATACTGTCTAGTGTTTTATGAGCTAGATTGCAGGTTTGTTGTTTAGAGCATGTGCCTGGACATAATGAAGCTTCTGGCTGGTTCTGGTTTGATTAATGACTTTTAGGAAGCTGTTGGAAATCTGTGCTTCAGGGCACCCATAGGTGTTACCATAGTTCCCCAAATACCTCATTTATACTTAGTTATAGGTTCATCCCAATGAGTGGAGAGTCCTTTTTGTTTTCACTTCTCTAATAATATTGTTGAATCCTTTAAAAGCTGGCTAGAATCTAATTTTGGAATCTAAATATAAAGATGATGAAAAGATGTTATATTTATTCTAAATGGCTTTTTCAACTTCAGAATTCTCAGAAAATTGACCGATTAGATGGTGCACATGCCCCAGAATTGACCAAAAAAGTTCAGCGACATGCATCTAGTGGCTCCATCCCACCCAACACTAATGAGCATCCTAAAGAAGATCTCAACCTCCGCCTCAAGAAATTAACTCATGCTGCCCCCTGTATGTTGTTTATGAAGGGAACTCCTCAAGAGCCACGCTGTGGTAAGAAGTTGCTTTTAAGATAATAAAAACAAAATGAGTACCACTGTAGTATATAGTTGAGATGGGCATGCTCTTTCCAGTCTGTACTGTACATCTTATACTGTGTTCACATACCTTTAGAAAATCAGTGCCTTAGGCTGTTCTGTTTCTTTAACAAGTACCTGAAGCTGGGTGATTTATAAAGAAAATAGGTTTTGGACCAACAGCTAGTGTAGTGGTTAAGGCGCTTTACTCCCATGTGGTTGACCGTGGTTTGCATCCTGGGTCTGGTTGCTTGAAAATCACATCATTTACATGCCCAAAATCCTGAGAAGAGACTGGAGGAGAAGGGATTAGGCATAGCCATCCCAAAGAGGGTAATTTTTTACTTGCCCTCTTTCTCTTTGTTTTTCTCTGTCTCCAGTGAGCACACATGCCTAAATGGCAAAACAAACAAACAAAAACAGGAGCAACAATAGCAACAAAAAAATAGGTTTACTTGGCTCATGATTCTGGTAGCCAGAAGATCTAAGAGCATAGAGCCGAGAGAGACAGAAAGGAAAGCAGGCACATGCAGAGAGAGAAAGAGAGAGAGAGACCTGTAGGTAGTCACCTTGCTTCTATATCACCCTGCTCTTTCAGAACTAATTATTAAAAATTCACTCACTTCCCAGAGCTAGCATTTATTATTTATGAGGCATTTGCTCCCCACCTGCATATTCAAGCACTAGAGTCCCACTAGAGTCCACCTTCCAACACTCATTGCCATCAAATTATAGCAGGAGATGTTGAGGGCCGGGGCACACAGCACTCAAACCATAGCAGTGCAAAAGTTATAATGGCATTGTGTAATTAGGTGATAAGAATTAGTTACAGTATAAAGTCAGAGAAAGTTGGAACCAAAAAAGTTCTTAGAAATCATCTAATTCACATCTTTGTTTTGTATGTAAATTACTCAGACTCAAAGATAGGAAGGTGTCTTGCTCAGTGTGGTGAGATAGCAAAGTTCAGATTAGGTTCCATCTACCGTATTACTGTCTCTGTTAAGAAGGCCTTGTCTCAGAGCTTTCTTTCTGTTTGTTTTCACTTTTAACAGTTATCTTTTCTTTTATGGTAACTTCGTTTTCTTCCCCAAGTTCAGATTTAGCAATTTAAAAATTGGCAGAATTTTCATAGTGCTCCCATGTTTATCAAACTCTGTTATTTTTGCCTTCTCTGTTGTCTGTCAGTGTTTCTTGTTTTAGTTTTTCAAATTTTGCCAGCGGGTATATATACTTCCTGAAGAGAGAGGGGGAAAGTGAAAAAGTGCCCCCCCCCCCAATTGGGGAGTAGTCACCCTGCATTCTTTCTCCATTTCTCTTTCCTTTCAAGATTTTGGGCATGCACATACACATGCCTGGTGTGTTTTTCAAACCGCTGGATATGGGACTTGAACTACATGGTTGGCTATGTGGGATCTAACTGCCCTAACCACCACACCATGGGCTGGCTCATCTGTCAATATATAATGATTATAGTATTCACCTGTTGCTGTCATTTCCATTTTATCACTGCTAGTAATTTAGAGATTTCTAATTCTTGGCTTACACTCACTCATTTTCTGTGTACATAGATGCTTGTAATTTTGTCCTTAAGTAAGCTTTAGAGTTATTTGACCCCTATGGTATTGTGTTTATGTTGTTTTCTTTTTACTATACCTAGTATAACGTTATTATGCTGCATAATTGAACATTTAATGCCTTTTGATGATGCTGTTGAGACTCTAAGAGTATTTGTTTCAATTGCACAGGAGGGACTTTGTTAAGATAGGTGGCAGTAAAATTGAGTATGTTATTGATATGATTACTGCATGTCCAGTGTGACTTTATAAAAATAGCCAGACTTCTAATATAAATATAATTAAATTCTTCCCTATAGAGTTATCAGATTACATATTAAGTTATGAAAATGTGTAGTTGAAAAATAAAGTTTCATGTGAATTCTATTTAAAAGTTAAAGAAATGATTTCTTTATCTCACAATTCTGCCTGAAAAGTTTTCTGGCCAGTACTTACAGGTCAGATAGTGCCTGCTATTTATGTATTATGAAGCTCACTTAATCTGTACTCCAGTTCAACTAAAGATAGCAACAGTCTCAGTGTTGTATTTGTTACTCTTTTTTTATTGTGGGGCAGTATTCGGCTGGTTCACATTCATCTTCCATCAGACATGAAAATCATTTCTGATACTTTATATAGTGTCCTGATAATAAGGACTTTACCAAATCAGTCTAATGGATTTTATTCAGTATCCGCATTCAAGTCTGAAGTGCAGTAGAACTGGCTGTAGAAAGTGAGTAAACTGTATGTGGCCACATGGGAGTCCAGTGACACCAACGCTACACCACCTTCTGGCCCCTATATTTTTAACATGTCTTATGTCTCTTGATAGTTTAGTTTTTATTATGCATCTTTTTTTAATCACATATAATAAGTACATCATTTAAGAGTGTTGCTATTTTAAATGAAATATGTACTTAAGATTATTGAAAATATTTTTATTGTGACTGTGCCTTACCACTTCCTTTATTTGCTTGGATTCTGTTTTCTTGTCTGTGTGTACTGCTATATAAACTATCTTTATCTTTAAACTGTTATCTTACAGGAACATAAGTGACTTTCTGTGGACCTTTCTGAGCTTGCTTAGGGAGACTATTTTTTGCTTCTCTGTAGGGACTTCAGACAAGGTGTAGACAAAGCCCCTTTAAAAAAAACAATGGTGGGTTTAGCCAGTGGTGTGGTGGTTAAGATGTTTGGATCTGACATAGCTGACTTCACAGTTTGAGTCTTGGACCTGATGGCCTGGGAAATATACTAGGCACAAATGTGGGTGCCCAGAATTCTTTTTTTTTTGGAGAGGTTTTTTGCTATTGGGCATGTGCGCTCGCCAGACAGACAGAGAGAGACAGAAAGTGAGAAATCACCCCCCAGGGGGGATGGTCACGCCGCACTCCCTTCTCCTCCATTCTCCTCTTGGGATCTTGGGCACGCACGCACATGCGCCTGGCGTGAGTTTTAAGCCACCGGGTCCAGGACGTGAACCGCGGTCGACTACGTGGGAATCCAGCGACATAGCCATTACGCTAACTGCTGGTTCCCCGGGTGCCCAGAATTCTGAGAGAAAAATGGAGGAGAAGCGATTTAAGTGTGGCCATCCTCCCTCACCCTGAGATGCTTTCTCACTTTCCTTCTTTCTGTCTCTCTCTAGGACATGCGTCCTAGAGTTAAAAAAAATAAAAGCAAAAAACAATGGTAACCTCATTTCATAAGTGGCTCCTTTGCCACTAGCACCATTTGACTCTGATTATAGAAGGTAGCTACTTTTTTTTGTTTACTTTTTAATTTCATGAATCAGTCACACAGACAGGTATCTTCAATAGGGTCTCACCATGCCTTTATCCTCTTCCCTATCATAGCCTTTTTTTAGCCAGCCAGGACCATTGGCTGGTAGGCAAACCTACTATATTCAGTGGACTCAGGGTCTGAACTCCATATGGCTCTAGTATTGTTCAGCCATCCCACCTGCCTGGGGAAGCAGCACTTAAATTTTGATTAAATTAGCCAACTCCACCTTGCTTTCTGTTAGTAAGAAAAACATGAGTGGCTAACAGTTAAATTTTGTATCCAGCAAACCTTGAAAGCCATTTTCAGTCTTTGTTCTGGAGTCTACTTGGACTTGGCTCGGCCCCTACACAGGCCTTATCTCCACCTTCTTACTCTCTACTTGTGGTTACTACCAACAGAATTGTATGGTGTTTTATGAACCTGACATGTTAAAAGGGTTTCAGTTGTCAAATAATTATATTCTGATTCTGTGTTCCTCCCTCATAAGGACAGGAAGGAGGAAAGTGTGCTTATGTTTTAGGAAGAGTTTTTAGAAACACTAGAGATATAGATCTTTAGAATGTTAAATGAGTGAACAGGTTAATAAAGTTATTTGAGAATTCTTATAACAATTTCAGTTAATAAAGCATTTTAGCAAAGTGAGAAGTATTTGAACCACAATACAGAAATTTTGTAGTGAATCTTCTAACTGTATTTCTACTTCTTAAAACACATAAAAACATAGCAGGTTCTGATGTATTCTTTAGGGTTTTATTGTTAGATAGTGATTACATTGGCAGTTAGGCTTAATATTCATGTTATGAGTAAAAATGACTACAGATAGAAATAGTGATTCTGTGACAGTTAAATACGATTTTTATACTTTTAGATATTTTTATTGCATGTGTGCGTTTTTCTTGAGGAAGAGTGTAAATATTTTGTTATTACAATAATGCCTTCTTCCTATTTTATCCTTAAGCATAACATTTCCAGTCTGCCACTTTAACCCTTAAAAATGAAACACTACCAATCAATCTTTCTAGTCTGCATGTAATTGCCTAAAGCTAAAATAAAGCTTTTTTTTTTTCAGCCAGTTACAGTAGAAATGAGTTAATATATTGGCAACAGAATAACCATCAGCAATCAGCCGTTAGCTGTTTACTAATGAACTCCCAGATGAATGAAAAAATTTCAGAATCAGTGTTTTACTTCAGGCTGTACATGAACTTAACACTTCAGTTGTAGGAAAAGCAACTCGTATGCTATACAAGTAAATACTAGTGCTTCATCTCAATAAATTGCCGGTCTGGAAAATATTTGGGGCTCAGTCGTAGATCTGTACTTCAAAATGAATGTCCTTTTGGGTGACATTGGGTAAAGCCATTTCTCATGATTAATCTTGTATTGAATTTTATGATTGTATTTAAAAAATAATTGCCGATGACGTTAAATCTTATAAGAATTCTGAATCTGAGGAAAAGACTTTTCCAGTGAATTATAATTATGTTTCAGAAGGATGATGTGATATGAAAGAGTAGGATGGTACAAAGTATTGGGAAAAATTGGGAAGAAGTTGCTTATGGAAAGACAGATATCTTTTTTTCAGACTAGACTAACAGGTTTATAAAAGACTGATATTCATACTCTTACTCTTCAGTACTAATGTCATAGTAAGATGATGTCAAAAAACTACAGAACAAAAATGTGTCACAAAAGTATAATAAAATCATGGGACATAAAATTGTCATTATAGTGTAGTAAAAAAAATCACATTACATACTTTGGGGAATGTAAATAGTTTTAAAAAAGAAACTGTCAAGTTATGACATAAAATGAGAAAGAATACTGTCAATCTATTGACAGTTCATATATAACAATAGAGAAGATAGCTTTAAAATTCAATGTGCTAACCCATTGTAGACTGAAAGAGAACACATTTCTTGATTTTTAATTTGTCCTTCTAGAGATCATAAAGATTGAGAACTGCTGTAGTGGATGGATACCCAGGAAATGGTAGAATGGCAATAAAGACTAAACAGAATTGAGTTTTCAAAGTATCCAAATAGAACTTAAAAATAACTATTGTAGAGTTGAGTCTAGTAGATTTCACAGAGCAGAGGAGCTGATCCTCACAGATTTTTCTGAGCAGAGGAGTTGATTCTTATAGATTTCACAGAGCAGGGGAGTTGAGAGGGACTGCCCAGGGTGTCTAGGCCAGCCCTCTGATTGGTAAGAAACTGCGAGGAGGTGGCCATCCAAGGTCTTGTCTTGGATTCCCTTGGTGGATGGATGGAGCAGGTGCCAGGGCTTCAGGTCTCTTCTTCATTGGCCAGTACGATTTGTCCTACAACCAAAAAATGCTCCTCATATTGAAGAAGATATTTATCAAAGATCCTCTTATTCCCTCCCCCCAAATTTGTTAAAAAGTTAAGTTATATCTGAACATGTGTTGTGGTTCAAGGTCAAATAAGAGGTTCTTGGAGTTTATTTTCTCTTTGTATACTTTTCAGCCATGATAATTAAATTACCAGCAACACAGAAGCAGATATCTCTGTCCAGTAATAATATATAGTCTGAATTAATTTATAGCTGCATATGTGTATGAAAGACAGAATTAAATTCTCTATTTTCTTTTTTCTATATGCAGGTTTCAGCAAGCAGATGGTGGAAATTCTTCACAAACATAATATTCAGTTTAGCAGTTTTGATATCTTCTCAGATGAAGAAGTTCGGCAAGGGCTTAAAACCTATTCCAATTGGCCTACCTATCCTCAGCTCTATGTTTCTGGAGAGCTCATAGGAGGACTTGATATTATTAAGGTTAGAATGGAGAAGTCAGTCTGTGCCTTGTAATGAAATTTCAGTTACAACATACTTTTATTGTGTGTCGTATACATCTAAAAAACTAATTTCTTAGGAATCGCTGTATTTATTAATATGAATCTGGATTAAATACGTGGTATTTCAGATAGGTGATTGATCAGTTTTCTGTATTATGATCTGATTAATGGGATTTATGTTGTAATAAGTCTTTTCTAAAATTGACATATGTGCCTATTTCAGGAGCTAGAAGCATCTGAAGAACTAGATACAATTTGCCCCAAAGCTCCCAAGTTAGAGGAAAGGTAAGTGTTTTAAAAGTCTCAGATAGTCTGCTATTTATTATTAAATGAAAAATGTTTTTAATTACCAGAGAATGCGTTAAGGTCACCAGAGAAAGAAAGAGAGAGAAAGAAAGAGAGAAAGGGAGAAAGCATCCTTCCAGGTGGGGTGTAGTCATACAATAATCCCTTCTCCATTTCTCCATCCTGTCAGGACTTGGGGCATGTATACACATGGGCCCAGTGTGTTCTTCGAACCACAGGGGCTGTAATTTGACCCATGGACAACTCTGAGAGATCTTGCTCCCTTAACCATTAGACTGTGGGGTCAGTACCTTCAAAGTATTTTCTGATTCTCCATTTTTACATTGTTTTTTCTATACATAATAGAAATAAAAGATTTGGCGTTTGTATGCTGAGAGTCGTTATTATTACTTGTAATCAAATTTCTCTTACAAATTAAGGAAGATCTAATTTGGACTGTAGACATCTTAGCACCAGTTTAGTGATGATGTAGAGGATTTTCTTTGCTTTGATAGAAATGTCATTGTTGCAGTAGAATGACCAAGTTTTGTTTCTCTTTCTGCATTTGAGAGCCAGGATTCGATTGTCTTGGTTACTACTCATGTCATTAACTGGGCACATACTTTTATATATTTATTATTTTGAGAGATTTTTGTTGTAGGGTCCATGTGCTTGCCAGAGAAACAGACAAAGTGAGAAATCATCCCCTTGGGGGGAAGGTTACGTGCCCATACTGAATTTCAAGCCACCAGGTCTGGTACTTGAATGTGGTTTACTATGTGAGAGTCCAGCCCCTTAACTGCTGGTCCACCTGCTGGCTCTGTGTTTTTGTTTTCTTGTACACAGTTTCTATGACTCTTGTGGTTACTGTCCCATATTAGGAGGTGGAATGTAAGTGTCTAGTGTGAAAAGCCAATGCCACACACAGAGTGCACTTTTAAATAGGCTCTGGGTATTTCTCAGTGCCTTTTTAAACCATGGTAACTGAAAATTCAAGATGATTTTGGAGCTGTAAAAATCTATGTATGTTTTATGAAGAGTTTCAGTCAACATTTAGAGAAGTTATCTTGTAGAAATTGTGAACTTTAACATATAGGGAGACTTAAGGGGATTTTTTTTTTTGGAGAGGTTTTTTTTTGCTATAGGACACTTGCGCTCACCAGAAAGACAGACAGAGAGAAAGCAAGAAGTCACCTCCAGGGGGGATGGCCACACCACACAGTCTCTTCTCCATTCTCTTGGGTTTGGGCACACATGCACATGTGCCTGGCCTGAGTTTAAGCCACCAGGTCCAGGACTCAAACCACGGTAACTACATGGGAGTCCAGTGACATAGCTATTATGCCAACTGCTGGTTCCTTTTTAATAATTCTTTTTTTTTTTTTAAGGGACTTTTATTTTAACAATTAGGTGGTAATATAGAGGCTTAAAAATGAATATATTTTGAAATACCTGAGCATATCAGCCATTTGTAGTCAGGATTTGAGTTTCTAAGATAAACTTTCCTCTTAGAAATTTCTTGCTATTTAATTAAAAATTTTTTTCCAATGCATTTATTTTAAGGTTTTTGCCACAGGGTGCATTGTCCTCCCCAGAGAAGACAGAGACAGTGAGAGGGAAAACGAGAAATCCCTCTCCATCACCTTGGTTGGTCATGTGGGAGTTCAGCACCATAACCACTATGCCACCTGCTGGTCCCAACCATTCTAACATTAAAAAAATCCTAGAATTTTTATTATTTAAAGTGACTAGTAATAAACTAGTATTATTCATCCTTAATAAAGTAACCCTTGTAAATAGTATTCTATATATTATGTCAAGATGACCTTAGCACATTTCTTCACATAGTTTGTTCCTTTTCCTGCCTTCTAAAAAAGTTCATTTTGGGACCAGCACGTGGTGTGGTGGTTGAAGCGCTGGACTCTCACATGGCTGACCATGGTTTGGATCCTGGACCTGATAGCTTGAAAACCATGCCAAGTGGGTCCAGCAGATGGCATAATGGTTGCGTCTCTGGACGCCTATATAGTTGACTGTGGTTTGAGTGTTGGACCCAGCAGCTTAAAACTCATGCTGGGTGCGTGTGTGTGTGCGTGTGTGCCCCAAAATCCCGAGAGGAGAATGGAGGAGAAGGAATTGTGGTGTGGCCATCGCCCTGGGAAGTGATTTCTTGCTTTCTGTCTCTCTGTGTGTCTCCAGTGAGTGTATCCGCCCTATAGCAAAAATCTCTCCAGGAATAAAAAAAGAAAACCATGCCAAGTGCATGTACAGTGTGCCCAGAATCCTGGGAGGATAATGGAGGAGGAGGGATTTCAGGGTGGCCATCCCCTCTGTGGGGTGATTTCTCACTTTTCCTCTCATTGTCTCTTATTTCTCTCCAGCAAGCACACGTGCCCTTTAGCAAAAATCTGAGAAAAAAAAAAAAAAGG